ACGAACCACACACACACGGCAAATTAAAGAGAACGTGCAGCACAAACACCAGCAAACAAATATTTGTACAAATTTATAATTCCAGTTCGTAAATCGACCTTCACATCACCAGACACACATAAATAAAACCAAGTAACAGACGACTATTTACTTTGCCATGGCTTAATAATATCTGCCCGCATTTCTCTCTCAAAACATAAAAATAGTTTTGAAAATATGATTAGTTTTTCTACATATGACTACTTCCTTCATTAGACTAATATTACACGCCAATGGTACTAATAATTTATCATCTACTTTGTTTACAGGTTTACGGAATAAAACATTTTGTAAGCGTTGTATAAATTAGTTGGTATTAAAACCCATACATAAATTTACAGCTGTTTCTTGGAGAACGGACACTTGGAAGACAGAGAAGGAGATGGCAGGTAACACTAAAACCAATCTCAAGAAAACAGATTGTAAAGACAGGAGGAGGATAAACTGGCTCGTAACCAATGGTGGGTTTTGGTTTTAACGATGATGTTAGGGTTCAATTAACAAAGACTAAGCTCGTTGGTTAGTTATTTGGAAAGTATGTTTGATTACAAAGTTCGTTATTTAAATAACAGAAAAGTGAATTACAGAAATAAATGGTTGGGGCACGTGCAGACAACGCCAGATACAGGAATATCGGCATAAAAACTGACTGGCAAAACAAACAGCATAATCCCATACTGAATTTCTTGACCAGCTAAACAGCTACCAACATTTAAGACCCTGGAATTGGTTGGATGGTTGGTTAATTAGTAATCGACATGTTGGATTCCATAAAAATAACACCAAGTTCAATTTAGGTGTACAGGAATGAACGCATAACGTATGAAATAAGAAGTACTCCTTGCCGCAGAGATATTAAATTGAACGTGGATAATGCACTTTAATATCGATATGTATCGCAAGCAGTCACAGCTAGTTGCAGAGCCCAACTGCTCAGAATGATTAGGGAAAATTACTATAATTACGGCTGAGAGTCAAGCATTTCAAATCTATTTCAAAAGCACCCATTGTGGAATAAGTACGGCGACTTCATACCTGCACATATTTGTAACATTCTCAGCTATGCGGAAATCGTAAACCAAATTACTTAATCTGTATTCAATTGCGCTACAATCCATGTCCAGCTTTAACCTCTAAAAGTGATGCTGTGCCTCTGTCTGTGGAACTGGGCCGCTAACGGGCCAACTGTCCATCACCCAGATGATACAGGAGTGAATATGAAGCAGTTCAGCGATACTGAAAGATGATAACCGAAGGACTCGGAGAGAAACCCATCCCAGTGTCACTCTGTCCACCAGAAATCCCATATGGACGAAACTGGACACATATCCGTGCTCAGCGGTCGAAGGCTGGTAACTGATTGCCTAAGCAATGACACACGACCTTATGGATTACAGTGTGCAGCAGAGGATGATCACGGTAATAACAATAATGAACCTCAGGGGCAAATCCTGACACTCTTGTGGACAGATACTCTGTAATATGGCGTGAAATTAATAACAAAGGCGATAATAACAGCCTAATAACAAGTAGTAATCTCAGGGACAAGGTTTGGCCCTGACTCGTGGACAGAGACCCCCTGAGATGGTCTGAAAATGCTACTACTACTACTACTACTACTACTAATAATAATAATAACATAAAACCGATCACGACTTTCTTTTGCTGTTTTTCATTGTGACCTTCTGCTGAGAAAAACTAAAATAACCTAATGTCATATAAGATTACATAAAGGAAAACCACATATCTTCTGTAAAGTAGTCTTTAAAATTGTCCGATCTAAATGGGAATTCAAACGATTCGATAATTTTCGTAAAATTCACAAGTGTCAAACGTAATTAAATCTGAAGATGGCTGTCTTCTGGGTTGTTGAGCGGTGTAGTCTGGTAGAAGTTTACCGACGTTTCAGAGGTCCTTGCTGCCTCCATAATCAACTCGGCGCAACAACCCAGAAGACAGAAATCTTCATACTCACCGCTGTAAAAACCTCATATCATGCATGACACCAATTCTTTATACGAGGATTAATTTCTTTTAAAATTAGGTATAATCTTCTGTCAAAGCTTCATCTTCAATGGGTTATATATAAAACGTCTTCGGGGATTAAACTGAAATTTAGCCCACAACATTCAGTGCAACCCTAATCAAATTCAACATACATGATACTGAAATTTTCGAGACGGATGCTAGTCATAACCTTTCAATGCGAGGAAATTCCATACATTTCGAGGAAACAAGAAGTAAAAAGCTCGGAAAGTACATTTCGTACTGGAAAACACACATCCTCACGCGTGTTCTTTGAAACGTGCAATATATCCGCCTTGTTCGTCAGTTCCCACTTTGGCCACCAGATCGCAGCATCTCACTGTCTCCCTCACGGCTTTATCTTCACCGCTCGTAGGATATCAGAAGTACGATTCTGAGATCGTGCAGAACCGCACAACTTCCACAGCAAATGCCTTCCCAATCCGTGCTGTAGTTCTCGAGTAGAACCGACTGGACAGACAGACAAGACTATATCATAATACAAAGAACGCATGGCATACAACAACAACACAGTATTACGTAAGCGTCTACGTTGTACGTTTGCAACGCGATGTTTTATCAGATACTTATGCAGAGAGAAGAAGAGTAGGCGTACGTCTATCCTAAGCACATTCTTTTGGGTAATGATGATTCGAAGTTCGAACGTGATGTCATATCCCCACCTGTAACAGTCATAGTTCTCAGAGAGAAAATTCAAGATGTGATGACGACGGTGTGATGTCATAGGCATATCTGTCAGCAAAAACCATGTTATATCTTATTACTTTCGTAAGGAACGGAAAGCCATGTGTGAAGTACCATGCTACGCACCATAACAATCAGCAGCTGTGTGAGTCACGTTATGGACGTCTGTGAGGTTAGCGCTTCGTATCACTGGGTCTTGTGTTTGATATTCCTGATTGAGATTCTTCGTAGTCTTCCTTTTCCTCTCCAGGAACGTTATGGAAAAGGAGCCCCACCTTAAAATTGACAATCTTCTTTCCAACGCACAATTATGCTGTACTAGACGTTTCAGAAAGTCTTCTCAAACAATAGGAAGTAAACATGCCTCAACAGCATCTCACGAGCAGAGTAACAAAAGAATAACGCTCAACACGTGTGTGCATGTCAGAGGTACCACGTAAGAATTTCAGTCTAGTTATCAGACACTGATTTTCCTTGCGCCTTTCTCTCCAACCGAATTCATTTCTCCATCACAACGTTTATCATTTTGCAACATGTAGAGGCTTGGGAGAAAGAAAAGACTCCCGAAACTATACAGAACTTAAAACATTGCATACCGTGCAATGCAGTTTTGTTTGTATGCGTGATTTTATGTTTTAGATAAATATACAGAACTTACCACACAGTACTAGTTTGCTTGTAAATTAATCGCCGAAAAGAAACTTAAAACTGGCGTCGGATAAAAAAAAATTTCATCACATTCGACGCTACGTAGTCGAAACTTCGTCATTAAAGTCTATCCTACGACTCAATCACGAAGAATTACAGGTGGGAGTATGGATGCTTATGCATTCTGAACTTGGCCAATATAAAGAGATGAAAGATTTGAGGTTTTCACAGCGGTGAGTGTGAAGATTTCTGTCTTCTGGGTTGTTGCGCTCAAACGTTGGTAAACATCGACCAGACTACACAGCGCAACAACCCAGAAGCCAGAAATCTTCATAAAGAGATGAGTTTAACGTTCCAGTTGATTTACCCCGGGCAAAAGAAATTGCAACACTAACTATAAAGGGTGTATTGGCCCTAAATGTAGTGGCAAAGAGAAAATTTCTTGCTCTTGCAGGTAACGAACCACGATGGTCTATCTGGTGGCCATTCACTTTTGTGACTGAATTACTCTAGTTCACAATGCCTAGACTGGTGATTCCTGAACTGAAACCACATGACTACACAGATAAAGCAAATGGATAAAACTTGTCTGACTAAGGAATATATTGCTGCAATCAGAATGAAGCCCCCATATTTAGATATGCCTGACAAATATGCACAAACACTGTTCGGAAATCCATAAATTCACCTATGGAACAACATTAGCAATGCAGTAAGCATAGGGGAAACATTAAAGCATTTTTGGTTGGAAATCCACAAAGAAAGAGACCAGATGACTAGTTGAAAGTAAAATACTATTTAGAATATTACTTAGGGAAACAGATTGCAAGAATTTAACTTATTCATAGCAGTCTTTGCAAGAAGAAATGTGAACAATTATGAATTCATAATTTTACAAAGGACAGGAGAAGGGAAACAATTACAATCACATGAGAAACTTAGTAGTTTGTACTCTTCACACAATATTTTAGAATGGCTGAACCAAGGATGCAATCCTTAAATGAAAATTTTCAATTGATTGTTGAGTCATCCATCAAAATGAATAGACTAGGTGAGGTTAAGTATCCTACAAGCAAAATAAAAAGAATTGAAAAAGCTGTGAAAACAAGAATTCCAAACTTTCCTGATATTGTCATTTCAACTAATTTCTTTTCAGGATTCATCAAGCCCTACAACAGTGGTTCCCAACCATTTCTCCTGCATCCTTTAATCCCACAACAATCACCCACACTTCCAAGGTCAAATCTTTTCTCCTAAGTAACAGACAATACTTAGCCTTGTGTCAAGTTACTGCAAAGGAATGAAACTTCATTTGCGCTCATAATTAATAATAAGATTAAATAAAGGGGCTTGATAAAATTTAGTGGTCTATAAAACAAAACAAAAGGACTTGACAAGAGTTAGCAGTCAACTATACCAAGCCTGGACAAAATCAAATGGACAAATATGATAAAATTAATAGCACCTTTCTCTACAAATAAACTTAAAATCCTTCACAAAGTCTACTATTCAATGATTCAAACAGTCCTGTGACTCCGTATTTCCAAGCAACATTATCCATAACAGAATCTGAAATTACGTACCTCTACTGCAGGAGCTTCTTGTACTTTGTACGCAATGATGGGAGATAATGTCTAGGTGCTTCTTATCCAGTCTTAAGTTGGTCACCCTGCAGACCATGTCCAGCGGATGGACTTCCTAGATGCTTCACTTTGTCACTAGGAACAGCAATTTCTTCAAAGATGCCTCTCCATCACTATCAACACAAGAATAATTATTGCATTCAGGAAAACAGAACTGTAAATTATGGGCTTCCTATTACTGTTTTGCAATAAGTAGTCCATGCTCTTTAAATCTATATCTTTCAGAAACTGTCTCTACAGTTATCAAACTGAATGCTCTGATTCTGAGTTCCCTAACCCAAATACAACAGTCCTCCAGACACACACCTCAATCACTGCTATCCCTCACAGACGATGCACAAAAAGGCAAAGTAATCAAAGGCCCCAAAACTCTATCCCCAGTCAGCTCATTTCAATGCTTGGAACTGCACATTCATCACCAAAAGTGTCTCCATTACTGTTAACAAATTGTAACAGCTATATAATGCTTTATACAACTGTAAATTATAATCTACGTATTACTGTGCTGTGTGTTGGAAATACAAATACTAAAAAAAATTGTGAATAACACACCCCACAAATGGCTTCTATGAAAGAGACATATTTACATCAGGTATACTGCATAGTTATAATGTACAAGTACAGGTATGAATACCTTCTATGCTCCTTGCTCCAGCTGCAGTTTGGAAGTCTCTTCACTGACAGCATTGTATCCCTGGTAACAAAGACCTGCAAAGAGAATAAACATGTTCAATCTTGTCCAAGCTGAACAGTCCAATGTATGGTGGAAGCTCATACAGCAGCAATAAAGTTACTGATTCCCCTCAGATAAAAGAACAATTACTGGTTTTCACCTGAGACATTTCTGCACTGCACTGTAGCCAGTGTCCTACTCTAACAATTTAAATGCAAACTTCAAGCGTTCCTGGATGAGTTCAAAGTTTTGCAGCTAGTGATATTTTATACTGCTAATGTAATTCTGTACAAGTATGTACTGAGACAAAGTATTTAAAATGATGGCTCTGCTACTGTGGGAAGAACAATTTCAGTACAAAAGATGATCTCAGAACAATGATAAAATATAAACCCAAAACATTTTCTGTGAGTCAAATCTGATGCTTCCATAAGTCAACTCCAAGACAGATTTTTAAATTATATTATAAACCAAAAATGTAGAAGCTGGAAAAAGAGTTTTGTGGTTCCCTTGTAAAAATCTCTTACCAGTAATTTCTGGTGCAATATATCACAAGATAATCACACTGTCTGGAGACATTATTTGCTGGACAGATGAATGTAACAATATGACAAATACTCTCAAGCTTTGATCTAAACTTTCACTATGACATAAACAAATGTAAATTTCACCATATTTCTAGACAACAAGAGTTAAATTTCTTTCTTTCTTTCTCTTTATCCTCTTTTACCCATAGGTGTTGAGGTTTATTTATTCATTTTCTTGATCTGTTTGGACAATGGTAGAACTCCTTGGATGAGTGATCAGCCCGACACAAGGCCTCTACCTATACAAACACAGAAAGACACGGACAAACATCCATGCCTTGAGTGGGACTCGAACCCACAGTCCCAGCGGCCAGGCGCACGAGGTCCATGCCTCAGACCGCATGGCCACTGTGGCCAGCAGAGTTAAATTTAATTAAAGAAAATATTTTAATGTTAAACAGATGTCTCTTGGGCACAAGTTTACTTGTGTGATGTGCTGACCAAAACTGCTGACATTGTGTTATGAGGCAAAACATATCAACAAGACATGCAAATGAAGAATTCTATATTACCTTAAACAGACAATACAATGTGACAATGTTGTTCTTCTGGGTTTTGACACCATGTGGATTCACTGGAAGCCCTGAAGATAAAGATGGTATGTTTCTCTACAATGCTGGTTGGTGTCTACCTACAAATCTACATCATGTCAAAACTCATAAAACAACACTGTCATACTCAACACTCTGATAAACTTAAACTTCAAATAATGTGAGATCTCAGACACTCATGACAGTGAGTATGAAAATTACTGTATTCTGCGATGTTGGAATGTGTAGTCTCATAAAAACTAACTGATGTTTTAAGAAATGTTCACTGCCTCCCTCATCAGGTCAATGATTAAGCACCACACAAAAAGAGCAGGTGAAAGAAGGCAATAAAATACCATATGTGGAATGAGGATGGGTAGGAACAAGCAAGGCAATTAAATAGAAAAGGGAAAATATATAAACCAATGACTGAAATGACAAAACAATGCATATGAAAATAGGGGAAATACAAATACAGGTAAGTTATTATTGGCCAGTCGAGACTTTACGATAGCTGTGAGCGTAAGAACAGTAACAACGCCTGGCTGGCAAACTAAGCATTTTACCTGGTTGGTTTTGTTCCACTCTATGGAGTAACACTAAACCACGGAAGTAAGAAGACTTCTTATTTTTAGTTTTTCAAAGTGTTACCCGAGACAACACAATTAATACAAACCCTCCACCCCTGATCAATCGTCTCTTCCTCACCGCAAAAATCTCTAACTTCACATAACCTAACCTAACCTAAGCTAACACTTGAACCAACCTAACAAATCAAAATAATTCAGATAAAGGTGAAGCCTTAAAACTAAACAGCATCTTCCTGACACGTGTCGACGGGGCCAAGGCGCAAAATCAAATCAAAATTCTGCCTATAGGCAATTTTTGCATAATATATGAGAAGCCATAAAAGTGAATATCTTAAAATATGAGTTTAGTCTCTTCATCAATAAATCTGGGGAATCTACAATTATGCCATTGTAAGACGCAGAAGAAACAAATAATAAAATACCTAACAAGTAACATATTTATTGCCGCTGATTGCCAATGTTAAAATTACCCGTACCTGTAATTATGGGGTACATTATTATTATTATTATTGGTACTACTGTGAAGGTCTGTCAGTGAGAATACAGCAATCTTTAGAAGCACTCTGTAAAAGCACTTTCTTTATGTCATCTAAGGTATACGTGCCAGAGAATATCATATATGTAATATGTAACCTTTCTGTCTGCTAGTTTGACTTTTTGGACGAAATTTTTTCATATGTGACGTAAGGTATTTCAACATGTTGGAATCTTTTTCTGTATTACACAGTAGTCTGATGGTTCAGAAGTGGTAAGAGTTTTAGTAATTAAGTTCAGAACTGTTTAGGCAGAGGGATAACTTTACCTTTTGAAAGTTGAATAGAATAGAATTTATTTACATTCCATAGATCCTTTAAAGGCCCAAGCCAAGGCTGTAGAACATCAAATGCAATACTTGTTTCTAATACGAATATAAAATAAATAATTATAACAGTAATTTAAATTCAGCTACAGTATTACCCCCAAAATAATTATGAAAGCATACCCACTATTGCTTACATGTGTTTATAAACTGAATATTTGATTGAGGTAAATTCTTCTATGGTAGGAGTGAGGTAGAAGATTCTCTTTTAGTGCAGGCTTAAATTTTGTATTGGGATTCAGACCTTCTATAGTGGGGGAATATTATTGAATAATTTAATTCCAGTATAGTAAGCTCCTTTTCTTTTACCTGCCATTGTTCTAATGATTTTCTTTTGAATTTGAAATACATTTTTGCTGTCTGTTGAGCTTCCCCAGAAAATAATTCCATATTACATGACTGATTGTAAGGACGCAAACTATTTTTAAAATGACAGCAGGCAGACGAAATTGTCTACAGAGTCAAACATTTGAAACAGTTTTCTTGTGTTGTAGGTTATGAAACGGTGTAATAGGTGTGTTCAAAATAAAAGGATTTCCTGCAATAGAACCATATGGCAGTAATGGAATGGAGAAACAGAATAGTAAGTCTAAAGAAGCAGTGCCAGAGGACACTGTGACAGTGGATGCTGTCCATCCACGTTTGTTAAACAAATCAAGTCAGCAAGAACCATCTAGGTTAACATCAAGTGATGAAGTTGCATATTGCATACAATGTGAAGAAAGTATTGTAAATACTGTTGCTGCCATAAGAAACCATTTTTTGAGAACACCACATGAAAGTCTACCATGTTTGTATTGCCATGGCCCTGCGTACAAATACATTTCCAGATCTGAGAAAATTTACCATGAATGCATTTTGAATGCTGCCCAAGAAGAGGATTCTAATAACAGTGATTCCTCAAGCTTGTCAAAAGACAAGGATATTGATAGCAGTGAGACAGAAAGCACATCGAGTGCTAAAAATATTAAAACTGCAGGCTTATTGTGTGAGAAAAATACTGACTCGCACAGTTTGAATGATTTTTCCAATGTTGAAAACACATAATTATACCTTCACATTGTGAATTTACTTTAATTTGAAATACTCATGTTACTCATGTTAAAAGTAATGAAGTACATGCAGCAATGGAAATTTCTCAGCATTCAGAAACAAAAAAGTTGATCTATTGATGAACTGTGTGATCATAGAATGTAAAATAGTGGGCTGTAGATATGACAGCCAGAGTTGGTTGTACATCCAAGAAGCTCCTGATGCCCACCCAGATTCCTATATAATGCTGTATATTGCTGTGTGTATGTCATAAGAAGGTAAAGGTTGTTTGTAAAGCCCAGAGGCAACTTTTGCTTTTTACCCTACTCTGGTTTCTTCCTTTTGATATTGTAAATGGATGCTTATGGGTTTCTAAGGTTTCTCACCATTTGAAACAGGTACACTGGAGTCTGACTAATGTTTCAGTTGTTCTTTCAGTAAGGACTTCTCTGTAACAAATTTAAAAAATAACCTTTGTAATACTGAAGCTATGTCAGGTATTAAGTGCTTTTGTTGTTAGTATGTTGTATTTTCCTGGTCGTGAGATATTTGAAACCTTCTTTCAGGGTTTATCTAACTGTGTAAGCCTAGTGTATTGTTAAGTTTAGCTTCTATCAGATGAAATATGCTGCACTCTGCTGATAGCTAAACCCTATTAAACTACAAACACTTGCCTTTTGCACATTCCCTTGAATTTAAATTTCTGTTGGGATAGTACATTCATGCTTCCTTGTTCAGGATTTCCTCCTGCATAATGTGACAGTAGCATAGTTTGTCATGTAGATGCATTTTATGATCTGATATAATTTATTTCCCCAAATAAATTAAGATGCTGATGACAACTGGAAAATATGTCGTAACGCCAAAAAACGAATCTGAAACCATGAATCTGTGTGGAGGACATATCTTGTATTTGACTTTCCTTTGTATATTCATATGCAGTCTGTAACCGTAATCTGTTAACTATTATTATAATCTCTTGTTATCATAAGTGGGGATCTGACTTTGTAATCAATGATACTCGAGCAGTACTTGAGCAGTACGAAATAATCTCACGTAACTAGTTTTAAGGCGCTAATTTTCACCCCAGTGTTGGAATATGTTAATTTATTGCATGTCCTGAAAAATATGAATTTTTACATGTCTAGTAATTGAATTGCCTTGTATATTTTGTAATTTCTGCAACAAAATGTTAGTTAAAATTAAATGTAGCCACAATGTGTCTTTTTTGTTTGTGACTATTGCCATTAAAATTGAAAATCTCTGGAATAATGGATCCTAGATCCTAATATACTCGTATATGATATTTGGTAGCATGTATTATAATATTTTGCTCATTTTCTTTGTTTCCTATTTGGGGAGATGTGATATATAAAGGATTCTCTTTTTAAAGTCACTGTTATGCAGTGTTTGAGTTCAAGAGTTGTTTGCAAGTATTCAAAGAGTGTATTTTGTATTTGAATTTCTGACAGCTGTAGAATTTATGTTGTGACACACTTATGGAAACACAATACATAATACAATTCTGATATAAATATAGTACCTTGTAATTTCATATATTCCTAACTAATTTCTCCTTATTGAGCTTGTCAGTTAGTCTTGAATATGTAGATATGTATCAGCTTATCAGTGCCATGAATATCATCTGACTTACAATCCCTAATCTTTTCTTTCCATTCCTCTGTCTGCATCATGGAAATAGGATGGAAGAAGAATCATACAGTCAAGAAAATCCTCAACATATATGGAACATGAAGGTTCATTACTGACTGTATGAAAGTTCATCAGTGGTCCCTGTCCTGAGCCAGATGAATCCAGTCCACAGCCTTCCACAAAATTTCTTTAAAATCTACTTTAATATTAACCTCCCATCTATTACTAGGCCCTCCCTTCAGGTTTTGTAACCATAATTTTGTATTTATTTTACATCTCTCCCATATGTGATACATGATCTGTCTCTCATCCTCTTCAATTAGATCATCCTAATAATATTTGGAGAAGACTACAAATTGTGAAGCTCCTCATGCAGTTTTCTCCTGCTTCAAATCAATTCACCCTTCTTAGGTCCAAATATTGCTTCATCACACTGTTTTCAAACACGATAAGCCTGTGTTTTTCCCTTAATGTGGGAGATAAAGTTTCACAGTCATGCATAACTAAAGATAAATATTGAGTTTTATATATTTTAATCTTTACAGTTTTAGATAACTGATGGTAAGATTGTGTTCTGAACTCAATGGTAGCAAGCATTCCCAAAATATCTCTTGTTACTCTCTTTGTGAACCCAATTCTTATTATTTCCTATCATTCCCAAATATTTTAACTTTGCCATATATATATATTACCTATTTTCAAGTTGTGATTTGGTCTAGGATTCTGATGATGAGCATAAATAACTTGATTTTTCTGCATTTACTTCTAGACCATTCTACCTACTAGTATCTAATGCAGCTTATGTTTTTTTTATTACGATACAAATACACAGTGACATTTACTTGTATACTGATAATGTTCAGAACAAACAGTACCAAGTGTCACTGTGTAGTAATTAGTATCCATGATTTCTAGTATTCTGGTACAGTCCTTTAAAATAGGCCATGATCGCTTCCTTTCACATCCTTGCGAGCTTATCGAAAATGGGTCATTAAATAACAACGTATCAGAGATGAAAACGAATAGTGCCTTCAACGATATCAACACATTTCTTTCTCTATCAGTGTCGACAGTAGAGAAATTGTCTTCAACGTAGAGCGTGTCAGTTTATTTGATTGCGTTTGTACGACCCCAATTACTGGAGCCCATTCTGCACATTCGTACACTACGTTGACCTTACTAGCAATTTTCTGACGTAGAATCGATATCGCGCATGCGCAGAGGTGTGTTCTCTTCGCGTGAGAAGCGTTTGTTGGCTGCAATTACCATACGACACTGCGGAAAAGAATCTAGTGTTTGTAGACACATTTAAGACGGATTGGTTGTAACAGGGACTTGACGCTCCTTTAATCGGAATTTAAATCCAATTCAAACACCAAGTACCATGTTTGGAGGTTTCGGCGGAGGTATGTACAAGTATTTCGCTTTATTAATATTTCAGGCGTCAGAAATACTATATTTTTTATTGTGATCGGAGTGATGACAACTTCAGTAGTTTTTCCACGCCTAGATTTGAAATATACGTTTAAACTCTGTATTACATCAAAATCAAAATTTATATTGTAAATATGAGAGTTTCCTTTCACCTTGTGTGACCTGATTAATTGAAGCGTCACAACCGTTGATCAACCACAACAAGAAATTCCATACACTTCTTAAAAGTTTGTCACAGGCGACATGATCAGTGTCACCTAGAAAGTTTTTTAATTCGTCAAATTTATAAAATCGTTCCTTTGATTTTTGGCTTTTAGAAAGAAGTGGTCGTGGCCTATTTCAAGGCACTTCCCTAGTGATTCTCAGGAAGGACCAAGGCAGGAGTAGACAGACTGTGGTCGAAATAAGTTCATTCCGACCAGGGACATTACTAAAATTGGTTCTGTTAATACCAAGACCTTATATTGCATGTTCAACCCCTCATTCACAGTGTAGAGAGTGTTTTGATCACAAGAAACAAAGAAAAATTATTAAAAATCTAGATTTTGGTGTAAATTTATCAGGCCTTGGGACACGTATATGAAAAATTCATTTACTAAAGTCAAAATTTGATATAAGATTGTATTGTGGAGCTCGCTTAGAATTGGACTTTGTATTTGTGTGTGTTAATGCCTTTAAACACCAAACAGGGTTTAGGATATGCCAATTTAATAACTGATAATTCAGTTCTTATGAATTACGGTATGTTCAGTGCTGGCGAATCGTGGTCTAGAAGTCAGGTCGTGCAGAAATGAAATATTAAACCCCCCCAACAATCGCACCACAACGTTATTGTATTTCAATAATAATAATTCGAAAGACGCTGTTGTAAAATATAAAGTCATAACTCACAATAAAACTATATAATACACGTAAGAAATATTAAAAACAAAATGCATTTCGGAAATAGCTGCTGCACTATGTACCTCAGGGGCAAGGTTTGTCTCGGGTACATAGAAGGAAGTACCCTATAAAGTGGTGAATATATGGAACAATAATAATATGCAGCTCTTCTGAAATGGTAAGATTTTGTACATTCATCCAGTTTTTGTGGTCTGGCAATGCACTACAGCCAGACCGGAGCATTCGCCCCTGATGTTCAGTCTATGTGATAATCGATAGCTAATTAACCATTTTTGAACACAGCACAGTGAAACTGTTCAGCCCAAGGTCACGTGGCGTCTGAACCTGGAAGACTATACTCGACATTTCACCACCGTCGGAACTTTAAATCTTTAAATCAAAAAGAAAACATCTCTCGTTGAGGTATTATTCTGCTAAACAAAGGAAGTCAGAGTCTCTACAAATGCTTGTACATCCCGACAGTCGTACATGAAACAAGAATGGCATGTAGGAGGGAAGTCTTGTTCACCTTGAATCGCAATGTAATTGCAGATATACTGCAGGCGTAGTAAATCTGATCTCGTGTTTTCTTCGTTGACCCGACTTCCCATTCACATACACACATGTATGCCAAATTGGAACTGGAATTGTCATAATGATAAGAAAATATAGTTTGTCACAAGAATTTTTTTAAACTTCCTTGACGGGCTTTCCTTCAGCAACTTCATTGCAAATACAGAGGCTTCTATTAGACAACTTTGTGAATGCCCCATTTGTGAATCCTGCACACGATATACGACATTAAAATAAAGTTGGCCAGTGCATACTAGCAGGTGCGTTGTATCCCATACTTAGCGAACTGCTTTGAATAGCCTTGTTGAATTAGAGGAATTGCTTGTACTTCTCAGATTTAACAAACTAACACTATATATAGTGTGCTATTTCTGAGGATATACTTCACTGTAGCATCCAAAAAGCCACAATAAAAATTTTCATCGTAGTGGAAACCTCATATTTCATTTTATTAAGTTAGTAACCAGCTGAAATTTCCTGCTTTTTTGAAACCTTAAGGCTGACGACCGTGCTCAAAACAGACCACCAATAGTTTCTAAACTTGTATCACGTAAATTTAACTGACACATTTAAACCAGTTTCCGCAGAATACTTTTGAATATTATGCTATGCCTTCGACGTTATTTTGTCTACTGAGCTTTTTCTACCAAACATTCATGTTTATCTCGTGTTTTCCCGATCTCCAACACATTTTATCATGTCGTATTTAGTGGTTATGATTGTATTTGGTTAAGAATGCTAAGAAAGTTACAGAAACAGAACTTTCTGAACTAGAAATATTTATAGTATTATATTATTACACTGCTCCTGTTGATTTATAAAACTGGAATGTAATATCCAATAGTATCATCACGCCTCTATGCGTATCAGTAATTACTTTTGAACGAAATGGCCGACATCCATAAATTTTGATATTAATAGCATATAATAAATATCCCACTTTTGTAGTTCATAATTCTGAACCTTAAAAATACTAAAGTGGGCATCTTGCGTAGTAGAAAAAATGAGAAACATTAATTTTATTTAATGTACGAGTATGATGATAACAGTTTTATTGAAATGAATCTTAAAAAAAACAAGTAAATTTTGAACATGGACTGTAAAAAACAGTGACATGGCCACAGCACTAATTCCTTATATACTTTCCCATTTGATGACAATGACTTGTATAACATTTGTAGCTCTGTAGCTAAAGTAAAATATTGTTTTGGGTTATGCGCGTAGGAACATAACATATTTATTCGTACACTGAACAATATGAATGTCACCGGCAATCTGTGAGTTTATGTTTCAACACCTCTTAGACTGTTTGAAATCTCAAAACCATTTTTCCTCACATTCGAAGACCATTTGAGGATATCGTAGAAAACGTTTAGTTGCGAGTGCCGTACTGGATAGACGAAGTGTGTTGCAATGCTCTTCACCAGTCCAGCGCCAGCATGCATGCCTAGCTTGTGTGATCATCGTCCGTCTGAAAGCACAGCAGCGCGCTGTGTGGTATTAAAAATAATCAATGCTGGCCAGGAATCAAGGTCTTTAATTCTACAGATGGATTTTAAACTTGTGTAATCTCTAGCACCAATGTTTTAATATACAAATTTTTCATGTGTCATAGTCGTATTTGTTTTTCTCATGAGCTCTTTCCACAGAGTGCATAAAAAGAACACAGAATAGAGAGGTCGAGATGTCCGACCGTTCAAATGTTTAATCTCCTAAATTACTTAATGGACTTCAGTGATATAATTGTTGAGGGTCTAAATCAAAACTCATCGGGGAAATTTCACCTTGGTTCATAACAGTCGAAGATATAACTCCTGTAAATTCAAATCGAACTTCCAGACCACCGAGAACTAACTAACACTGTCTTCAAAGCTATCCTCATATCCTAATTATATGAAGATATGGAAAAATTCTTTTTAACGAAGCTATATCATGATGTTCTGTCAACTTCTGAGGTTATGTAGCACCAAATTATGTCGTGACAAGACGAAATAAGCGTATATCTTCCTTGTCACAATAATATCCTAACGTTATTTAAAAACGATGGATAAAATAAACATTACAGATAAATCTCCTGTTAAACTCAATTAGTGTTACTATTCAGTACGTCCGAAGGTCTAAAATCGGCCGGGATATCAGTTACTCTTAACGCGCTCTAACGTGGTTTTCGTCAGACGCATATGTCTGTTTTACATTTGATTTACAAGTAAGATCTTCTAGAAACATGTATAAAAGATGTATCGGCATTAGTGATACATCACTAATAATAGTATAGTCCTCTCATGCAATAATAATGTTAATCACTGCTTCATAAAATGGGCCCAATGTAATGACGCAGAGGCCAACTCATACATTGCTCATTACATAGTATCTCCCTGGACCACAGATACTGCGACACAACCATGCGTAATGAAGACTATCCTTGAAATCCTGCCAACGCCCATACAGTAACACTAACACCAATCTCTGACCGTCTTTGAACTAAGAAAGCTTACAAACCGATATCACGTGAAGCAACCTGCGTCAGATATGAATCGAAAAATCCCCATCCACCGGCTTCATCAGCGTAGCAACCCCTCCACTACTGTTTGATGACGGAAACAGATCTAGCTTACGAAACGTCGGATTTGGAAACTACAACGATGTTCTTTGCCAAGAACGAAATAGGCTTGAATAATGGAGAAAACTGCACAATTAATGCTCAGTTCAGTTAATTTGTGCGTTTATTTAGCACAGTTTAACAGCACATTTTAACTGGTCGTCTGTGGAGCCCTTAAGGATTAGTTGGTAGACGTGATTCGCATTAAAACATTCTGCATTTCAGATGCTGTCAACCTGACTACGCAGAAGATAATCAATTGCAACCTTGAGCACCGTAGCTTTCATAACGTTCTGGGTACTCGGCATTAATGCAAAACACATTCTTTTCATAGAACGCAGGTTCGGCTAGGATGAAAGGAAACCTCGGACACGAACTGCATTCCACACACACACACACACACGCCAGGGAAGAAGCAAGACGCTCTGAGGAGACTTATTACGGCTAGCTGCCATGTTTGAATCTGTTTGAATCATACGCATTATTTCAAACAGAATCCTTATATATGTTTATGACGTATCCCGATACAAAAGTTCACAGGCTAGTTCGCTGCAGTTGTTTGTCTGAGAGAAAATAAACGTTTCCAAGATATTTTCACATTTAGAAGTAAATTCATTAATATCATAACATTTTTTCAAAAGGACTCTAATGATAGAAAATATGTTACATTCCTTCCAATAAGAACTAATCTTGTGGAGCGAGAGCTTTTGAAGAACAGTTTCAAGTGGTAAAGTAAATTTTTCTGAACAATGTGTAATTTATTTAATTACATGCCCGCTATACGGAACGGGGACAACTACTTTTTCATGGCGGATAACATCACTCCTGAATATTCTACTTTATGACGCCAGAAGTAACTTGGTAGTTAGATGTCATCCGTAGCGGATTAAAAATAACTCCAAAACGAACGGGTCTGTCCTGAAGGCATGCGTACAGACACTGAATGTGCATTGGCTTTGAAGCCGATGTTAATAGAAATAACACTTAAGAATTCGGTCCGTACCTCAAAGAAAACATAACACTACTCCATTTTGAGACCAGCTGATCAGCACTGTTAAGGGCATAACCTCTTTTCACTCTGAGAACCATACAAAACCGAAAATACAAAGCACGGCGTTGCTGATTCTTTAGCAAACAGCAATTCATTATCTATACTTAGTTATACATTTCGCTTCTGACATAACTATCTGAATAAGAAATATAATTATTACATTTCAGCTTTCAAGAACTTGGGATCGAAGGCGGAGCAGTTGTTTGAAAAGAAGAAAACTGATGTCGAGGACATAGCGACTCAAAAGAAGCAGTTGGCGAGTGAGATGCTGGAGGAACAGGCCAAGAAGACTGGAGATGCCATATGGTCAACCAAGTCAGAGCTTGAAACCGCGGCTGTCGGTGGGGCGATGGACGCCAAGCACACGGCAATCGACGCTTTGGACGAGGAATTCGGCAAGGTAGAGAAGACTGTGGACGGTACCATCGACCAGGCAAGTGCAGCTGTGGACACAAAGCTGAAAGAAGCGGACAAATTCATCGATGAAAAGAGAGAGCAGGTGGGGCAAGTGGTGAAGGAGACGACGCAGAAGGTGGCCGACACCAAAGACCAGACGTCAGCATCCGTCCTCGGCAAGGCGAAGGGCGTCCTCAATTGTAAGTAAAACTTTCTGTATAGGAAACATATTTAGAATCATTCCTGAACTTCTCTTCGTTAGCTACTGGCACGTGGTTAACACACAAAACTACGTTCAATGCAAGGTTGTGTAGTGTCGATATAGGAAGATAATTATGAACGGTGAGTCCGTGTTTGGAGTGGGGAGGTTGTAGCGAATGTAAATGCATTACTCTGACAATCACCAGAAGAGACAGGAAAGCGAAAGAAAGGGTCTAGACAGGCATTCCTTGTCTCTATGCTCCATCCATCTCATTTTCATCTGATTTCACCCTAATAATATTTGGTGAACAGCAGGCCTACAAATTATGAATCTCTTCATTATGTGATTGGGTATTTTATATTTTAATAACACTTATAGTAACAACAGATGTGTTTAAAACTATGCCATTTTCTCTTTCTGTCTTGTTTCAGTTTAACTTCAAAACATGCACAAAGTTGTTGCCTAGCCACAAATGTGAGCATCAAGAGGACGACAATGTTTCCGCTTCCTCCTGCCTTTCTACTTGCTTTTCACGTGTTCAGTGGTGCAACGGAGAACAGACATACTACATCCTGTGTGCTTTTTGACATCTTCGCAGACGCAGAAGACTGCAAAACCAAGTTCCCCATTATGAAACACATTACACAGTCAGAGGAACATATGCTGCTACTCCAATCTGTTTTCATAGCTGTTCTTAGTGAAAAAACCACACACGTCAATACTTGGCCTATATCATTGATATTGAAGCAAACACAAAAAATTCCAGAATTAACCATATTTAAAACAACACCAAGTTTCATTCCAAGTAGAAATTTCTTCCACATGTCCTTAGAAATGGAATCCTGTACCTAAATGTTTATATGTAACCATGTATGTATTTTTTAAACATCAACCTCAAAATGGTATTTAAAACTGAACATGACCTGCAACCTTTTATTTCTTCAAAAGTCACTGGTAAAAATACCTACTTTACTCTTCTCTACTCCTTCATGGCTTGCACCAGGAACAGCTTTGCTTTACAAATATCATCATAAAACGAAAAGTTAATTATGTACGAGCAATGTAATATGTTTGTGTATTCATGAACTGGACTGGAATATAGTGTTACGTCAGTATCATGATTGAAACAAATATATGGAAATAATTGTCTCATCAGAAGAAAAATAATGGTTCTGAAGTTAGGAATTGTTTAATTTAATATTTTGTATAAGAATAATTTGATACTTTGATGAAGAAAGTAAAAATTATGGCAGCTATTTGATAAAGTAAAGCGTAAGCAATCATTAACAGAGATGGCTGGAAAATTACTGTTAGTGTTTCTATTATATTTGTACAGACAAACCCAAGGAGACATATTTCATGATTTTTACTCATGGCATTAATGAAATTTACAAAACACGTTGTTGGGGAACTTACAGAATCAAAACAGCAGAGAAATCCAATACAATGGAAGCGATAATATTGTTTAAAGGAATTAATACTTCTGTTTGATCATCATAACAGTGTAATGAAAAATGCCTTATGTAAGTAAAAACTCATTTGCAGCCTACGTAGGAGACAGCAGCTAGTATTCTGGAGTATGCTAACAAAGCAATCCAAAAGTGGAAATTGTAAGCAGTGTATGATTAACCATGACCAAGGAGAACACAGAATAAACCAATTCAAATTAAACGAATACATGAAATGAGGGATAATTAAGGCAATATTAACTACAAATAAAGAAAAATAACAAATATAAAGGGAGAAACATGAATCCTTCAAATAGGTGCCCGATATCTCATAGTTTCAAAAATAAATTATATATAAGGTTTTGAACTGTGTTTTCATCAGAGTTTCAACTGATTTCATTTGTAAGACTATGCACAAAATGTTATAATTAATCATTGATTTTCTATATAGTTAGAGCTGGGATAGCTCAGTCAGTATAGTGACTAGCTACAGGCTGGACGACCGGGGTTCGATCCCCGATGGGGGCAGAGGATTTTTCCCTCTAGCCTCTGCATCCAGACTGGTTCTGGGTCCCACCCAGCCTCCTTTCCAATGGGTACCAGAGTCCTTTCCTGGGGGTAAAGCACGGCCAGAGCGTGATGCTGACCACTCACCCCCATTCAGTGCCAAGGTCAAGAATGAGTAGGAGCTGTACCTCCTCTCCCCCCAAGCGCCTACATGACATATAGTGGGACAGTTTTACATGTTTTTTATGGACCTTATAACTGGACCTGCCCTTGGTTAAAATTCTGATGACTTTTATAAAGAGCAAGTTGATTGGTGGGTGACCTTATGAGAGACAACCATTAAGACTCATAAGGGGGCCTTCCAAACTGAGGGAAACAAGATGTTAACTGGGAAGTTTCTCTTTCAGATTTTTTAATGAATAAAAGAACAAAAAAAGGCCTGTTAGCCAGCCTATGTGTATTATTGAGATTCAAAATGGAATTAAAACTTTTGTGTTATTGTGAGGGAGGATTGATATACTTAATGTCTAACATCTGTTACATATGAGTTATCTGTTGAGTGACTTATTGTAAGGCAAAAGACTGCACCGTCTATGTTATTCGGTTTCTCATGAAGCTAATCACAGTGAACCTTGTACTTGGCGAGAGTATTTATACGATGGTACTGGTTATTGCTTTCAGTTTATTTCAGTTTTAAATGTTATCTCACAATTACACAAAACCTGTTATGTGAAAGAATTGTGATAGCACAAAATAAGAATTCAGCTGTTGCCTAATTTGCAATGCCTTCTATTGTAGATAAAATAGGTTAAGTGAAAATGCTATAAATGCATAATAAAGGTTTGTTAAATGTATTTCATAAGATATTATTTGCCTCAATATATGTATCATTTTAGAAATATTTAAATCCTTAACTCTAGAACCCTTGGTCATACAGAATCAATTGATTTTGAAATTATACTTTTATACCGAAACCAAAGTTTTCTTTCTTTAACTTGCAGAACACTGTTATTTTAATAGCAATTATTCTGAATGTATGGCACGTGGTTATAACTTTATAATAAACTTGGTTATTAACAAAAGAACATAATTATTGGTTATGACGAGACATGTTGAATGAAATCATTAAAAGGCTCCTAGTTTAAGGTAATACATGACCACATATGATTAACAAGTCAGTTAATGTTATTACAGAGGCATAAGAGACAACTGCTGAAAGACAATTAACAGAGAAATATTTGCCCTGACCACAAATAAGCCACTGTAAGAAATGAGAAATTCAACCCTTTGAGACATCAAGCTTTGGGTGCCTTCCTTGTAGAATTCTATAGTGTCATATATAAGAAAAATTATAGTTTCAGTCGTCTACGTTTGCAACAGATGTAGAAAAGCTTATACCTAGAAAAGCTGATCCAAGTCTTTACAAAAAATATTACTCAGTTCAGACGACACTATCTCGTAACGTTAAAACTGAATAATCGTTAACGAATTTGTTTCGAAGAAACAAACGCCTGAACATGAAAAGAATGCAGACCCGCCGAAGAGTAGTGGCGGAGAAGTTGCCGCACGATCACGGCGACACAGCACGTCTGCTAATATTCCATTCCACATGCTGATGCTGACTTCCCGTCACTCCTGAGTAAACTTTGTTAACGGTACGTATGTAAGTAGTGCAAATATGGATACGGCATCGAATGCGACAAGTGAAATACTGGACGCAACTGATCAAAACTAACGCCAATCAATTTCATGCTTGAATTGTATAACTTATCCGTGCAAGTACTTCGTTAATTTAGAGTTCCTGTCTGTCCTGTCGTATGAAAAAGAGGCGTGGCCTAATTAGCGGGTTACGTCGTTTCCAAAATTACCATGTTTATTTGATATACATGAAGAGAGAAATAAAAACTAAGAGTAAAGAAGTACAGTAAGAAGGGTCAGCTTAGACTTCCACCATTAACACAGAAGCCCTCTTCGGCAAGGACAGTAGAAGTTAGTAATCACACTGCAGTCGATAATTGCTTGTCGTTTTAGTCAGAATCTGCTTTATTTGTATGTTCAAACTGACGAAGCGGTCGTTCTAGGTGACATTGAAACTCTGCACAGCAGCTGAAAGGGTCGAAGCCCACTCAGTCCCCCCTTCCCAATCAATGAGTCAAAATGGCTTCCATTCTGTTCAAAATTGCAGGTATTTGAAAACAAAGTCCAAAACCGCTTCGAAGCGACGAATTACTACTTACTAGTACTTATTTACTCAGTCAGTTTCATTTCTTACTTCCTTAATTTGTTAATAATTTGTTTACTTATTCATTCATTCATTTACATACACATATATTTGTTGAGATAATTCATGTACACATTTATTTTAATTTATTTAGGTATTTATTCGATTATTACTTAATATAAGTATCCATACATGTGTGTAGTATTATCAGAATATTATTTATACATTTATTGATTTTTAATCAAACTGCGTGATGAAGAAGACCTCCAAATAACTTTCCTGAAATAGGAAGAAACTCCAACATTTATTCAGTTCGGGCGCAATCATAAAAACTTTATGAAGGTTCCTAGAATGATCGATGATGTATTAATATTTTACGCAACAGATGGATGACGTTGTGAAGAACAAGATGGTTTCTAGCATAGCAACTTTAAAGCCCACGGGAACAAAAATAAACTGTGGGAGAAATCAAAAGTACAAGGAAAATGGGTGATTTTCAAGAAACAGCACTTCTGAACTCACTGGGTATTATTTATTCTAATCTGTCGATTTATTTAATAACACTTCGCCAACTGCATAGGATACCCATATATCGGCCGAAAATCGAGGTTTCGCGTACTATTCATGACCCAAAGATCAGCTAACTTAAACAAGAGTTTTCTTGGGTTTCCTTAGTCTCTATGTAAATGTTATACAGTCCCTTAATATATTCAATGACCACACCTTCCTTATCCTTTTCAATTAGCCACTCATAATCATCAGTCCACTTGCTTCGCCCTTGCCTCATACATGTTTCTCAGTGGAAGGAAGAGAGTTGCTGTGTAATTCAGCCATTCCATTCTATCGAGGCCTCGTGTGGTGAGAAAATGTGGAACAAAGCGACAGGCAGCAGAAAGGCTACACGTAATTAGAGCGGAGGAAATTAGACACGTGTCCTTGGGCCGCCTCTAACGTTAACACGTAAGGATTTACGTGGCTCCATGCCTGTCTGTCTCACTGCACAGTTCTTTTTGAGAGGAATCTCTACGAGCGAAGCCTACAGAACCCAGCTTTCAACCGCACGGAAAATAATCTCAAAACAGCAGCGAAAACGTCAAGAGCTTGAAAGAAGACCAGCATAAGAGACTTTAATACGTTGTGCCGGACTGCATAAAAATTTCGAAAGCAATCAAAATGAAGTCTATACATATGTAAAACAAATATTTTTTTATTAAGATATGCCGTTTTATTACTTTCTTAAATTAGAAAGTTCGAGTTTAGTGTCACGCAAAGCAAGAGATATACTGGACGAATAACAATTTTGTACACTGGACAAATTTTAGTGTAGACCTCTAATGCCAAATTTAATCGAAATCCATTCGGAGCTAAAACATGCGGAAAGGCGGTCAGTTTTTGACACTACGTAAAAACACACAGACGAAAACTGGCCACGAGTATAATCAAATTCTCGAATCGAAAGACACCAACTTTGTTCGGGTTTAAATATGAATTAGTTTTTTTTATTCCAGATTATCTTCTGTCGTCTAGTGGTTTACAAGAGTACCTGTACTCAATTTAGTATTTTGAAATCAAACATCAGTGACGTAATGCTACACATGCCGTCCACATTTTTATCTTCAAAAGTACTGAACTGTTACTAACGAAACTGCACATGAGGTGTAGGCAGAATGTAGGCTAATTTTATTGTTTCTTCTGAATTCAACACAGCTCCCACATCGTGCAATATATCGATATACAACGTATAATAGAATTTCATTAAGATATGAAATTGTTATTTTAAACATTTGTATGTGGCGTATATTTAACAAAACAGAGCAAAAGTAATTATCGACTTTATGCATTGCGATAACTATAGGATGACCAGTTTGCAACTATATGTGAATGCGTATTTTCTTCTGCAATAACATCTCTAAACATCAGAGCCAACGAGGTGTGCAAAATCGCAAAGAATGGATTCGGAGACGATATGTACTTAAAGTTCAAATACACAGCTCAATATCAGTCTACAACTATGTTCGTGGCTGCGAAATCAGGCACAGAAAATATTCTGGACGTGCTTCTGAAGTGCATAGGCGTGGTTGTAATAATTCATGGTGGTGCTTAGAACAAAGGTTACTAAGGCTAAACCTTGTTCAACGATCCAATAACATTCCATTTCCTGTGACAGCATTTACCCACGCCGATAACAGCTGTTCTCTGACACAGAAAATTTTGAACTAGGTTTATGCCCAATGAGACATCTGATTCGAGAGAAAACCCTTTCAAATACGTATCAATTAAACGAATATGGTAGGGGGTTGGTTGTACTCTCAAACTCAGGTTCTATGACGCATGCGCAAAAGCTGCATGTACGTCTGTGGGAGCTGGAAGGCCGGGGTGTTGCTTCCAGTAGAGATCTGGGACCGAAT